AGTTGTATGAACTAATTTAAACACCCATTTAAATTCTAATATTTAATGAACCTAACCCAGTGGGCAACATTTTACTATACCTCACAGTCTTCTACACAAATGAGGCGGAGTTAGCCGGTGATAAATGACAAACGGACTATCGTAACTCCATTGTAACTGCTCAAAGGGAATATTTGCATAAATTCCCGTAAAATATTTCTGGTATCCCGTGCGGTTTTGGCTAAGACAATGCCTTTGAAATTGTGCCCTTTTATTTACCAAAGGTTTTCACACGTTTCCTTATTTTTTGACTAAACAATAGAAATACTTGTTTTTGCCTTTGTTCTTAGAAAGTGTGGGTTTAATGTATTTATATATTTTAATATTTATATCCCGGGTCGAACTCTGCCAATGAACCAGTCACTACAATTATTACTATGTAAAATATTCAAACGTTTATACATATAATTATTACAGTATCTGAGCAGCAGCAAGACGGCAGTACGACCTGAAGTCTGAAGTAATCTTAGTGATCTCAAATATGCCTGTACTTACTTAAGTACACGACTTAAGCTTTAAACTTGAGTACGCCAGTTATGCAGGTTAAATTACAAACTAGAAATTTTGCGTTAATTAGGCTATGCTTGAGAAAATAAAAATGAGTTCGACGTGTGAGTTGATTTCAAAATGGTATGGTAAGTATTTTAATTTTGAAACGTAATTTTAATTGTGTAATGTAATATGTATTATACTGTTATTTATTATTAAAAATAAATGTGGTAATTATATTTCTAATTATTACCTATGCAATTATTTTGCCGAATAACTGACTGGGGAAGTCAGGCGTCCACTATATAGGCGGTAGGACGTTAGCGTAGTGTTCCAAGCGCGCCATTATAAGAAGGAAAGCAGCCTCCTAGGGCCACTAAAGTAGCGGGAACTACCACAAACATAGGTGTGGTGATTCCGTAAGGGCAGCCCGGGTCATGGTTACAGGCGGAAATGACGATTACGAAAATAAATATTGTATTCTCAAAGTAAAAAAAAACTTCAAGTGTAATTATCTACCTCTACATACAAAACCTCAGACTGACTGTCAATCAGTGGTTAGATATGCATAGCTGAATATTTTGCTTAGAGACAAGCCATTAGAAATGCCTATATCAAGCAAAAGAAGGAAACTATCAGACAATAAAAAGGTCTATAATTTAAAAAACAAAATGGGATAATGTAATATCTAATGTTTTACGTAATGATAAATTAATAGAAAAGCGGTCTCGTAAAACTATTATAAGTAATCACACCCATAAACGTTACTAAAACATACTTTCACTAATTTAATATGTAAGTAAGTAAATAAACATGTGGATGTAGGTGCTTGTATGTATACTGACACACAAGTATACACTTCCTACTACTATAGGTAATCCTTAAAGTAATTTCATGTGATTAATTTGTAATTTGCCGAGAGCAATTAAACTGATAAATTGTAATGTTAAGGTAATCTTAGTAATCGATTTCGTATTAAGCTTGAGAATGTGTTGATATTGTCGGCGTAACTTATTGGCAGGTCTGTAAAATGATATGAAATAGTAAATTTGAAGTGTTAGTATCGTTTATAATGTATAGTTTCTTTCATTTGATCTCTAGCACGGAGTCTGGAATTGTACCCGATATATGGCAATAGACTCACCTCCAATTACATGGGACTCATAACATAAATAGTGAAAAGTGGGTGTTACATTGCACAATGACATTAAGTGCCGCAATGTGCACCTCTACCTACCCCTTCGGGGATAAAACAGCGTGATGTTATAATCTTTATTTTGATTTTACGAACACAGTTAGAACTGAATTTGTGTGAATGTGTGTTAGAGCCATGCTTCGGCACGAATAGGCCGGCTTGACTGAAGTATCACGGCCTCACAAAAACCGACGTGAAACAACGCTTGCGTTGTGTTTCGTCGTGTAAGTGAGGTTGACTGGATCCCCAACAATTCCGGATATCCTAATCCCAAAAGGCCAGTAACGCACTTGTGATTCCTCTGGCGTTCTAGATGTTCATGGGCGATGCCGATTACTTACCGCCAGGTGATCTGTCTGATCGTTGACCGACTTATCCCATTTAAAAAAAACTGAATTGCCCCTTATTCAACCACACACTCGTAATGCCTCCAATGTTGAATGTGTAATGAGAATACTGTAATACTGTGGCTACTGACAATTTACCATCATATAGCCTTCTGGTAACACTTATACCTGTTTTTCAAAATAAAATCTAGCGTAAATTTATGATATTAACTAGAGAGCACAACATTGAATTTGTTACTCGAAAATCAAGAAAGTTATTCATAAGATTAAATTCAGATAAAGGTTAAGATGGATTCAGTTCAGTACACTCGTTGAGTATTCATAAAATACGAATAAGTGACGTTGAAATTTAATTAAGCCGTAATCTGGGTTTGTTGTTACTTGTAATTGAATACAAGCTAAAACAATTTACGTGAAATCGAATTAAGTAAACTAGAGTCTACCTTTAGACTGGTTTAGTTACATTCTTGCTACAATTGTATGCGTAGAAAACATTTCAAAAAGGAATTTGATTACACTTTCGTGTGTTGTATTTGGGTTTGTTGTATTTTCTTTTATACATACATTTACATACCTTTGTTCTCTTGGGTGTACGCTGAACTTGCATTACCTACTTCTATAGCATCCATCATCATCATAGTAATATTGATAGGTACGTTTGGTTATACAAACTTGTCAGTAAAAGGGTGGTCCACATCGGCATATCCTATCAGTGTTTGTCGCGGAGAACCTAACGGGTTACCGGGGCTCCGGCTCGACAAGAAGGAACGGGGTGGTTTTTAGTCAGTAAGAGTTAAACACTCCCTGCCACTTCACCCAGGCGGGAGCAGTCATTCGATGATTTTCACCCATTAAAAAAATCCTATCAGTGTTTCAATGTTTACTATATCTACTAAAGTACTCTTCATTATTTATTCCAAGACTGGATTCGAAAAATCTTTCTCCTACCTAACAGTTCTTCAGCTATACGCTCATCTAATGATGTTCAACCGTACAACTAATTGTTATACGAACCGATAAACGATATTATAATGACAGCCTACACCGAAGTTCAACACAAACTATTAAATATAATAAAACTATTGCCTAATTACAGGTAATCTTCCAAAATGACACGACTCAGTTGACCAAGAGGCCGCCGGCTTTAGGCACTTAGACCATTAACCTAACGAGTCGACGAACAACTAATTGTTATTGCTTTTATGTATCAATATTCTATAGCTGTTTTACACAAAATTTTGTATAGAGAGAACTTTGAATTATGTGGTTACACAGGAATCAGTTCGGTTCAGGGTTATTACCTACAAAACATTTTAGTACACTCATTATGAAGTCATTCAATTTGTCTATCAACAAAAGTACCTACTCCTTTGGAGACATGTCGTTACAATTTATTTAGATATTTTATACAGCGTTTAGTTTTCTTTCATTGTTGTTATCATATTCGCTGCTTAGAACAAAATTATCTAACAAAATAATATTGCTAGAATAACAAATTAGTCCTTGATACATGCTAGGATTTTCTTCTATGCCGTGCGTTTAAAAACGAATCATTTCAAATTATGTAGACCGCCTTCAGACCCAACCTCTGAACCAATCATTCAGTTATTAATTTCTTCATCATAACTTTATCAAGGAAAACGTTCATCGTCGAATGATCACGAATACTTATCATTTGTTGAACACGAGGAAAATAATTTTCAATTACATTTTTCTATTTTTAGCATCTAATTACATATAAAATTTTATCAAGCATTGTGATATTGTAATTGAAATCATATTCTTACACGTGTCGAAAATATGGTCTCCTTCGTTATTACAAATCGAATTAATTTGAAGTTTCTCGGAAATAAATGCCCGTAGCTAATTACATCGATCTTGTTTCAAGTAGTCACAGAATGAGTAATTTTATATGGTCTTGTCATATTAAAATTGATAACAATATTGTTCCTTAATTTCATGTAGGTTTTGTCAATGGCAAACCACAACCAGAAGTCTCTTAACTTCAGGTAGAAAAAAAGCAAACTGATTCAGTCAAATGTAGTTAATCTTCATTACAGACTCTTGCATTGTCTATAAAAAGCAAAGAGAGAGAAGATATCTGTATAGCAAAATGTGTAGTGTGTATATTAAACTGTCAAACACCAAGCGGTCACCGGTGACCGTAACCTATTGTTTGTTTTTGTTTATTTTTTTTTTTATTGTTTAACTGTATAATATTTTGGCTTGTGCTGTAAAATTATACATGTGCTTATAAATAAATAAATAAAATTGTTCTATAATTGTGTCTACAAAACCGGTACTCGACGAGTTAATTTTGTACACTGTAGTTAGCCCATTTTACCCGACAAGCTCTGACACTACGATTTAAAATTATTTAATAAAACGACAGCGTGAAATAGTAATATAAACTTTACACAGAGTTGCTCAACGTTGTTATAATGCATACTTTGCCTTGACGTAAAATTCAGCTAACAGAAATTGGATACGCGTTGGCGAACGAGCAAGCTGACACCGCCTCATTGTTGCAAACTTTAAACCATACATGTTATGTTATTGCTACATTTTGTCTAGTCAGCGCTTTGTTTTATCACTTGCGCAGTACTGCGGCCCTGGTATTTTATTCCATCAGTCCTTAAATTGTGCATTGGAAAATCAAACGTTGTATTTACTCTTTAAATCTTAAATTGTCTTTTTGGTACCAAGATTCATTAATGGGCTGGGCGAGTTAGTGGTGGTTTAACTTGATTCAAACTGAATGTCTGAGGAACTGAATACTGCTTATGACTAAATAAATCACCAGAAAAATAATGGGTCGACCCACGGATCACGGATTTTTTAATGAACTGCAGTTCTATCTTTGTAAAATACTTGTTTACTTCAAGAAATAAGTCAAGTTTTCCATATATAAATGTCTATTCCTTTAACAGGTTACGAAGGTGGTCTCCAATGCGTCTACGTGGTCGAAGTATGGGCTGCCGAAGGATTAGTAGTCAACGCGAGCAATGGCGGTGCATTATGGAATCTAAGAAGACTTGGAGCTAACAGGCAGTTGAGGTTAATAGTGTACGCAGCTAATGCACGAGGACGATCAGAACATGTTGCCTTTCCTGTTGAAACTGCAGTTAGATTGGCTCCGAGGACTGGTGAGTAACAATAACGGTTGTAAAATCTGGGTGTTTCTTCAAAAAAAAATTGCAAATCATTAACGGCTTCACTATCTTTTTTATAATAACTATCGTGAGACATACTAAATTAAGTAAAAACGCGGGTTACTCACGTGAATATACTGAGAAAAGCTCTACTAGTTTCGAACCACAGAGGGGTTCTTCCTCATGAGCAGCGTGCGCGGTCGCGGCGACGTCGCGCAGCTCACTAGCTTCACTATCCTCAAACCAAACATAAAAATTGTGCTGATTTCTAAAACACAAAATTTGGTTTCAAGAAACTGAGTTATATTGAGTACTCAGTGAATTTGATAAAAATACATTTGGAAAAGCAATGATTTATTGGTTAGTTTTTCAAAGAAACACCCATCTAACATAATAACTAACATAATATTATCCTGAAGAGAAAGGTAAAAGATGTCTCTAAGAACTCTAAGAACTTGCTTGCTCCTCCATGGCTTAATTTCGTTACTGTATTAGAAGGTCATCGAAGCTATTGCCGAAATAAGTTTTCAGATTCTGTCCCCTCATCTATGTTAAAGACGAAGTATTTATTACAAAGCAATTTTCTTGAAAAGTTACATACTAAAATTGACTCGTTCAACCACTTAGTGGTTATAGTGTCGCGCTGGCACGCTGACCGTCAGCCCTTACAGCCAAGAGGTATGAACTTGGAGGTTAGATTATCAGCGCGCACGGTTCCAAGAAGTTCATATTTCTTGGCTATCAGCATCGACAGTCAGCGCTATACTAAAGCCAGTCTCATAGTATTTTTTTATTTAGTGCTAATAATTTAATTTATTAACAATCAATTATTATTACATAGAACCACAAGAAGCATGGGAAGTGAATTGGGCAGTCGGCGTGTTTCTCGGTGCTGCGTTGACCATCGCTTTTGTTCTATGCCTTGCTCTCATCGCAACGAAAGTACGACAGAGATCACGGGATTATGAAGGTAAGCATAAATATTTGTCATTTCGAACTTGTGAACTTCTAATATTTTAATAGGTGTAGTTATTTAGGTAATTCTGTTACGTTATAAGTAAATGTACCCTTAACCGACGAGCATGCATGAAAAGCCTGATTGATACCTTTCGATGAAGCGAAAGAGCTTTGTAATAATCGAAAGCAATTGGCATTCCATAATCTCTGCCTATCCCCATGGGGGACAACCATGAGGTTAACGTATGTATGTTAGTTCGGATATAAACAGCTCGCATCTGGTGTCGCTACAGAACTTTTAAAAATTACAGTATTATAATAATGTATTGCTTCCCTCACAGGTACTTTTTATCTGATGTGCGAACCGAAAAATTTCAGCTAAAGTGAATGTATAATAAATGTATTATTCTTTTATTGCAGTAACGCTTCCATCAATAAAGAACCAGAAAGTGATCGTGCAGAAGAGGAATTCCCCTCAAAATGCTGATGACAAGAACCCTGATCTTATTCCGTTAAGCAAAGGTGAGTCTATTGCAAAACAAAGTAGTCTGAGTCAATATCTAACAAAAAAAAAACAATTCGATTGGTTGACCTCATTCACACAGTGAAACACCACAACCGCTGTGTCACACCAGATTTTAGGCCGTGCTATTATTTCGGTCAAGCTGGCCTATTCGTACTAAAGTATGGATGTCTGGCACTTATTAAAAAACTTAATATATACCTACCGTGAAATCTATTTCGTTTTCGTCCTGTGGCAAACCAACTTGCCATATAAACTACTTTCGATGTATAAAGTAAAATCAAAAAATTAATACCTAATTTTTTTAGTTAAAAAAAGCATAAAAATTCGCACATGAAACACTAGACGTAAATTTTCTAGGCACTATTCGCATTGCACGTGCCGCCCGACAAGAAGTACATACCTCTTCGAAAATACATAGCGTGACGTTTTGATAATGTACTATGAGTTCGTATGCGTTTTCAAAGTTTGCTTTTTGCAATGTTTCACCCATTATTTTTGGTTTTTAACATTATTATTACCATTTAACTTCGGGACGAAAACAAAATAGATTTCACAGTGTATTCTTAATAGTTTATAAGTGAATCTTGTTCCCTTCTGATAAAACTGACGTAGGTAGGTACTAGAAGTCCAAAACAGTTAGCAATATCTTCAAAGTGATGCATATATAACATAATGTACTTATATTTCATATGTACTGTGAACTTTATATTCGAACTTCTCTTTAAAGTATGATTTACATAGGTGTGACAGCCGGACAGACAGACGTGAGAAAATCAAAGGGTTCCTTGTTGTCTATGAAACCTTAAGATCATTTAAATTCACTTTGAGTATTATCATGGCATATGCATCCTTACCCAAATTAAAGGAATGTTTGTGCATGTCATTATTCATTTTGGTAGGTAAATATTTGTAGCTATATATTAAATGTATATTTTAAATGTACATACCTAATTCCTTTTGATAATTCAGTTATGGTATAATTCATGGTAGAATCTAGGTAAATCATCTTGTATCGCTACATAGTATAAAACAAAGTCCCTATGTATGCTTAGATCTTTAAAACTACGCAATGGAATTTGATACAATTTTTATAATAGACAGAGGGATTCTTAAGGAAGGATTATACATATGTATAATGTATGCATATTGCACCCGTGCGAAGCCGGGGTGGGTCGCTAGTTAAACTATAAAATTAAAACTTAAAAAAATACTACTACACTGATAAACTGAACAGAAAACACTAATTAAAATAAACGTCGAACAATTTGCCCTGCATTAGTCGGAGACCAACATCGATATCGAGAACGATTCAAAATAGCACTTAAATTAAAATAATGATCGGACACTTTCAAGTGGTAGAAAAACTGTTGTTAGCTCCTTTCTACAAATTGCTGGAGGAAAATGGAACAATTTGTAGTGAAAGGTGCGATTTTTTATTCTAGTGCTTATATTTGTCGACAGGGTTTTGAATAAAAAGTATATAAGTGCATTAGTGTGAGACCTATTAGCATAACATTTTATAGGTGGAATGAATATAATCTACAATAGTAATAGGATCGTAATAACTGAAGTTTGGGAGAGCCATGCTTCGGCACGAATGGGCCGGCTCGACCGGAGTGATACCACGGCCTCACAGAAAACCGACGTGATACAACGCTTGCGTTGTATTTCGTCATGTAAGGTTATCGGTAACGCACTTGTAATGCCTCTGGTGTTTTGGGTGTTACCTAATGGGCGACGCCGATAGATTATGTACCATCAGGTAATTCGTCTGCACGTTTACCAGCTTATCCAAAATAAAACTTAAAAACCTTCTTTGACAATGGGATTAATAATAGAGAGCGAGGAATAGGTGCTACTCTACTAGTACTATACTGCTACAGTGCCCTAGTAGTGCTACAAAATCAATATGACCTAAGAAATTGAAACCAGACCAATCTAAAGAAAGTTTAACACATCCAATCCCCACATTGATACTTCACATCCCTATTTGAGGTTAATGACCAAATGTAACCGCGCCATATTATTTTATTTCGGTAATACTGTAACTTTGCTCAGAAAAAACCCAAAAGGGTAATGATTTGTTCAGTAATTCCACTGTAATAATGACTGACATAAACCCATTACTCGTCGCGATATTGAATTTTTAGCTGTTACGAAAAATATAACATAGGTAGGTAAATGAAAACACAAATATGCGAGACATAAAAACAGAATGAATGGTATTTAATAAGTGAAGGCTTCAAGCAAAAAAAATGTTTGTGAATTTAATTTTGCATGTAACCTGGATTTCTTTGTGAATGTCCTTTTTCGGTTGGCAGTTAAAAAACACGGATTTTCGGGTTTTTATATGACATTTTGTTATGAAAATAATGATGTTGACAGAACTTTCCAAGTGGTATGTTGTGTTTAAAAAAGATTGAATGTTTCCAATACCGACTTAAAGTACTTACACAAATTGACAAAACATCCCTTAAAACGCTGGTAAAATCTTCAACACTTGATCTATGCGATCACATCCGAGACTATACTTAAAGACTATACTCGACATTTACGAACAAAACTATTTGATCAACAAAGGCGTTAAAAACTTTATACCACACTAAAATATCCTACATTATAGTTTATACAAAGCTGTATTTAACGACGTCAATGGCAGCTCATTTACAAAGAGCTTACTATATACTAGTCTTTAAATGAATATCTCTATAACAAACAAAGACTTATAAATTAACACGTAGCGAGACAAACTGATGAATAACGTGCGAACGTTTACATAGAAAGTCTAGACAATAAATATTACACAAATTAATTGCACTCTCAACGGAAAGAATAAATTTTCCCGACTGCACATGAGTGCATACTTGTAAATTTACAACAGGCCAGTGCAAATATATGACCCAGATTATGTTCTTTAGGTTATTTTTAATTGTTTTGTGTTGATATCCTTGTTTTCATTTACTTTCTTTTTAATTTTCTAAAAGAACTAGCTTTTACCCCCGAATTCGTCCGCGCAAAACAATGTCTTCTGGCAGAAATTGGGCTTATGAATTAGTCTTTACCAAAGTATATTCTACGGTTGTAACAAATGTCATCAGAATCGATTCAGTACCTAGGTTATAGGTAGGTATTTATAGAAAAATGAATTTGTTTTTGAGGATTAAAATCTGAATAATTCCACAGGGGTCACACATACAGTGAGGTTCGTCTCGTGAGGTTTTAGTGATAAAACCTATTCTATGTTTACAAATCAATGTTGTACATAATTTAATTTAAATAAGTTAAGTGGTTAAAGAGATAGAGTCCCAGGAATTTAATGCATAGTTCGCGTTGCCATACAATTTCCGGAATATAAACAAATATGTCGTTTTCCGAGTATATATTTTATTCATAAATATCATTCACAAATATCATATCATGTGGACGAAGATATTTTGCAAATGCTAATCTAGTTAAAGTACTAAACGTGATTTAAAGTTTTGACCCCATAATATCTGACGTTGATCTTAATTCATATTCATGTTCATAATATGACTAATAAAAACATACCAAAAGAACATCGTTCGATCCCTATCACATAGTCCAGTAAACTTAGCGTGTACAAAGTCAAAACTTAAATGCGACCAGCCGTTTATTTACCATCAGCAGCACTTCCTAACTTTACTTATTAGCTGAACAAACTATCTGCTCACAGTTTTTATTTCCCAACTAAGGGTATTAGCAACTTCCAGCTTATGTTTTGTACATTTTATTTATTTAAAATAACGTTACTTCGACACTGAGTTCCTAAATAAATTAGTTCGGGAGTTCCACATCGATTTATGGAGTCCCCAAGTTTTATATGGTTTCACTGCATCGCTTGGTCGTGTTTTAGCTTCGATGTTATTGAGTCCATACGGTCTCAGTGTCTAGGATAAATGTCCTAGAATCGCTGGCTATATTCTTTGATTTCTGATAGTTTGGTCAAGTAACGTCTTTTCTCTAGCATTTTATTTTTACTATGTGTTTTAAATTTTTAAGAAACTTGAAGTTTTTTTCTGATTTAATGGGGATGATGACAGGGTATGAAAATTAAAAATATAATTAGTCCGTAACTTAGGTAATAAAAAAATATTAGACACGTATTTTTTTATTTTGTTGTATAATAAAACAATACTTAGATAAAACGAATCAAAGTTTAGGAGTGGGGGCTAAAACGTCATTTCTTAGTATAAAATGTACTGAGAAGTGACGTCACGCGACATTTCAAATCAATATATCTTCGAAACTATTCGTTTCCGTAAGAAAATAAAAAATACGTGTCTAATGTTTTTAAATAATCTACCAGACGGACATTAAAATAAAAATTAGTCGTCTACCCCATTGTTATGTTGTCGGCTTACTCGTTTACGTAACTGTTTGACGAGGAACTCGACTAGTTTTATTCTGAATGCTGCTTATGAATATGAGCTTCTAGCATGGTTTGAGACTTATCGAGTTCCACGTCAAACAGTTGCGTAAACGAGTAGGTAAGCCAAAACAATTAATTTAGTATGTCTCACGAAAGTTTTGATATAAACATTTGTTCTGATAATAAAATATAGCAATTAATGATGTGTTGCTTATGTTGTTGCATAAATTGTTTATGAACATAATATAAGGCGATACAGGATCAGTTTACGTAAATCTTTTTTGTTTCTTCTCTTTGCTTATCCATACTTGCAATAGAACACATGAAGGTGAGAAAATACTCAAATTATTCACGTATACATAAAAACTGTCATCGAATATATCACTCACTCCCTCTCTCTGACATAAAGTATTTCACACTGCAGATATTTAACAAACAAAATTCATGAATTCTACGAAGGATAACTGCAGTTTCCATTTACTGTCAAGAACAATATTCCAACAGACATGTCCACTATGTAAATTCGTTGTTACGAGAAAATTTAATGACAGTATCTTGTTACCAATGTGTCTTATAAAATGCTCTGTGCAGGCATGACCCGTTGACAAATTCGTACCGAGGACTGCACTATCTTGGTTTCTTTACTCTTACGTAATATTCAAGGTAGTGGCATTTCGTTCGTGTTATTTAAACTTACAGTTCTCTTACATGTAGGGAGTGTAACTTATGATATATTTATTTCTCTTAGGTGTGTTCATTATTTTTGATAGTTTATGACAAATTTTGTAACTCTCTGAATCTAAAAATGTTTTTTTCAATCTTGCAATTGAACCCATGATCTCATGCTTATACGATTACTAAGGTAGTCAAAGGGCGTCGCGGAGAACCTAACGGGTAACCGGGGCTCCGGCTCGACGTGCAGGAGAAGGAACGGGGTGGTTATTAGTCAGTAAGAGTCTGACACTCCCTCCCGCCTCACCCAGGCGGGAGCAGTCATTCGATGATTTTCCCCCCTTAAAAAAAAAGGTAGTCAAAGGGCAGCAAATTTAAATTTGCAAATCTATAGGGTTTTGATAGTTTCAAATAGATATAATGTGTGTGTAGTGAATTTTAACATTTTTTTTATTGCATAAGCCGTAAGGTAGGTAGGCAATCGGCGTAGCCCATGGATACCTGGAACAGCAAAGGCTACAAGTGCGTTACCGGACTTTTGGGGATTAGGAATTTGAGGATTGTTGGGGATTCGGGGATTGGGGATATTAGGGAAGGGGGTGGGGATAATTGGACCGCCGGAACACCACTACACACACGACGAAACACAACGCTAACGGTGCTTCACGTCGGTTTTCTGTGAGGCCATGGTATCACTCCGAGCTGGCCCATTCGTATCGAAGCATGATTTTCCCACATATGTTAGCATAATTCATCTTTCCATTTTACTCCAACATTATAATAATCACCATTATCTCATAAACTAAACACAAATCCGTCGTTACACAAGGGGCATACCAATCTTGATCAACCGTGACCACAGTCAATCGTGTGAATAATTACTAGAGCCGATAGCCTTAATAACGCTCACCATATCAACAAATTACAACTATATCTCTGTAATTTAGCTGGGTATCATAAAATAGCTTGGTTTATGTTGTTCTAGTTGAGATATTACGTAACATATCGAAACATGGCGGTTTATTATATTTTAGAAAGGGGTAGGTAGGTATTTTTAAATGGTAAGATTCAATTTTACCGTACTGGACGATATAGTATAATTATACATTATGGCAGGTAAATAGGTATTTTTTTAATAACTATCGTGAGACATACTAAATTAACCAAAAAGTTCGGGTTACTCACGTGAATATAATGAGAAAAGCTCTACTAGTTTCGAACCGTAGAGGGTTCTTCCTCATGAACAGCATGCGCGGTCACGGTGATGAGAGTAGGCTGCGCGACATAGCGGTAAAGTGAGTAACCCGGGCTTTTTAGTTAATTTTAGTTAATGGAAGGATAATATATAAAATTTAAAATATTAAAAAAAAAATTAGGGTAATCGTCAGTAAAATAAATAACGTGCATTGCACAGATGGGTCTTATGTAACTAATAAAGAAGTAACCTATTATAACCTACCTACTTACTTCTGCCAGCCCCTTGGCCCGCGTTTCCGTGGAATAAAAAGTAGCCTATGTATATGTATTCCAGACTATAATCTACCTCGTTCCAAATTTCATTCTTCTTCCTTCAGCCGTTTTGACGTGAACGAGTAACAAATAGACACACACATACTCTGACACAAACTGTCGCATTTATAATAGTAGGATCTACACCGAGCGTGCTTCCTTTAAAAAACAAATCATTATATTTGCCCGATCCGGAAATCAAAGCACATAGTTCCACATATGAACATCAAGTCAATATTACTCTCTATAACGTTCATTTCAAAACCTATTCAGTTGAAAAGTTTTTAATACCTCGGTGTCCGTTATCAAACTACAATGAAAAGTTATTTTGTAAAAACATATTTTCATAAAAATCATTTCAAAGAGGTATTTGTTGGATATAAAAATATTAACATTGTTTGAGGAACCTGAAATTTGTAGCATAATAAAAATAACGCGGTTTTTCGTTTTCATTTTTTTGTTTTATTTTACGTTTTGACGAATATTACATTACATTAGTATATTTACGTTACAAGAACACATGAAGTGGATGTGTAAGTTAACTAAAAATCGCAGGTTGCTGACGTGAACATATCGAGAAAAACTTTACTAGATTCGAGCCACCGAGGGGCTCTTTCTCGATGTCGATGACGATGTCGCGCAGCATATTGACATGTTTGCTTAGAACTTTTCTCAGTATACTCACGTGAGTAACCCGCGATTTTGTTAATTTAGTATGTCTGACGATTGTTATTATAAAAACAATATGTATGTTAGTTTACTTACAACTAGGTATACAGTTAAACACTTAAAACATGACTGAGCTCAAACTGCAGCTCTTTGCAACCAACTATTGCAATAAATCCGTTTTAAATCAATAATCCTTTTATTTATCTCTAACAATAGAACAATTTGATGCCATAACTCCTCTATTGTGAGATATTATTCCGCGAAGGCTAAAATAATTTCGTTGCTAAATATCGAAGCTAAAACCGTTCTCGACTGCAGCGCGTCAGTTAGACTTGATAACCTGTCACTCATTTGCCGAATTGTCACACTCACTACAATCACTTTGCGGTTTACCTCGCAAATTGCTTTAAACAGGACCGTTTAGTATGAAGGAAATTTGGGAGTGCATTTCTATTTAATTTTTACCCGACTTCAAAAAACGAAAGGACGCTCTCAGTTCGACTTGTATGTATGTTTGTGCGCGATTATCTCGCAATTGGCTGAACTTTTTTGCGGAGATTTTGATGCGGTTTTCAGAAAAAGGTTTTAGTATATTAACTAATCGTTTTAAATAAAGGGAGTTGAGGTCGGTTTTTTGAAATGTACTCTGTAAAAGAATTATTTATCATTGTTTTTAATTGGTATCAACAAAATGTACGGCCTTGTGGCCCGCCTGATGGCCTGTGCCTGTGCCTGATAAACGATCACTGTAGCACCAGTGGTATCCCAAAAACATTGGGAAGCATTGAATTGATCGTTCAGAATAATCCCAAAAAATGGTAAAGCAATTAAATAGTGGGCTCTGCATTTGAAACTTTGACTAACCGGACAAAACACACAACTATTTGTTCCAAAGGTATGCTGTGAGAACTGTCTCTCAGAATATTAGCTTCTTTAACACCATAATAAATAAACGAATAGCGTCGAATACAGAATAGAGGTCACGCATTTTTAAAAGTAAATGTTGTTGCTAAATTCATCACGCTTGACAGAAAGCTGAGGGGTCAGATCAATACATAACCATGTTCTTGCGCAAAACTCAAAAAAGACATAATTCGCTAACTGTTTGTCGTCTTTCATATTGCCAGGAAAAATGTCATATGAAAAGAAAAGAATCAAAACGCCATCAAGACAACCTGACTATAGCCGTCACGCCAGGCCGCGGCGACAAAATAGGATGCAGTAAAAAATATTCAATATCTCCCACACAAGTATAACTAATTTGTACCAATTTAGACTTTATGTGTATTGTCATAGATTCTCTATTTACACTTGCATTGCTTTTAAGTTTACATTTGACTAACGACGATCAAATGTATGTGTTTTAGAAAATTTACACTAATTGCTACTTGTCTTTTTCTTCAATGGAGAATTGTATTGTAAACCCGATTGAAAAAGAGTAACCTACGGAGTTTCTTGCTCGTTCTTCTCCATAGGAATCTACACCTTGCAATTAGCAACTAGCTTCACTTCTAAATTTTTCTTGTTGTTGACGTTCAAAAGTGCCTTCCTGGTCTAATTGAAATAAATGATTTTGACTTTGACTCAAACAAAATTAATTATGAGTCATATTCATATAAGTACAACGATTTTAAGCTAGGATAATCATGAAATTATTGACAAAAATCTCATTTACAAAACGTTAAGCGTACAGCCAACTAAATTCTTTTATTTTTTTAAATATATTACGTCGAAAAATTAGGCCATGGGTATGACGTCACGTCATTCATGACCAATAATTAAGATCATTTCACTGATTACACGCCGCGGTTGGAATTGAATTCCAATTGCACGTAACGATAATGTTAGCTTTAATCTGATCACTTTTATTGATATCGTACATAAATACTTGGTTCAGTAATTTTACATGTTTTGTGTAATTGTTTTTCATTGAATTTTCTGGTCTTTTATTACGTAGGTACATTTTTAAGATTAACTTTAAATTAAATGGAACGGTAAAAGTAAAAAGTAGTGTGTTTTCACAAAGACTAGCTTTAACAAAGGTTTTTAAAAATTCCCATTTTCTAACAGTATTACATCTTCTAGTACTTAAGAAAAAATACTTAAATCTACAGAAATATATTAAACTCTTCTTCAAATTGCTTCGACGAAAATCCAGCCTGATATATTGTTAGCAATGATTAATTTCAGCTGCGCGCCGTTACGACATCTCAGATGTTTCGTCCTCATTAATTTGTTTTAATTTATTAAAGAAATATTTTTCACTAATCCTCTATATCGTTGTCTTGAGAGAATTCCTTGGAATTAGTTAGACAAATCTCCTTCAAAGACAATTGTTATTAACTAGCTTATTTTCTAGTAGTTGTTATAATTAAGTTTGTGTCTAGACTATTTTCAGTATATAACGATCACTGTATTGTGTACGGACTTAACGACACATGACTAATATCAACCAAAGAACAAAATGATCACATGCATGAACTAACAAATTTCTTTTTTTTTATACAGGTGTTACAGAGGCTACACCCGATCCTCCCTTGTACTCTGCAATTGCTCAACCAAAAAATTCAAACAGCGCGCACAGCTTGCAACGTACACAGACGCCGGTGACGCCAATCTCATCACACGCACACTATACTGATATGCAGGTTGGCATATTTACTAATTCCAATCCTTAAATTACCACCAATCCTCAAAAGGCCCTAACGCACTTGTGACGCTTCTGGTGCTCCGGGTGTCCATGGGCGACGCCGATTGCTTACCATCAAGTGATCCGTTTGCTCGTTTACCGTCTTATCCCATTAAAATGAAACTAACATTTTTCTTCTATGACTGGATGGTTATGCACGTGACTTGAGATTTTGCTTGATTCATTTTAATCTTATTTTGCCGTTACCTTTACGTTTCTCTTATTCTTGATATCAATTTAACATTACCCTTAATTTTTATTTATCATTACCGTTTTAACTTAGTTCTAATATCTGCCTCTACTATTACTATTTCTTTTACATATTTATCTCTAGCTGTACGATTATTATTTATCTATTTATTGTTATATATTTTTTAATCAGTGGTAAACTATGGGTAAGAATTAAAAGAGTGTAAGAGAAACTTGCTGTCATATTGACCCTTACCTAACACTATTACTGTGACCTTTGTAATTACAATTTACTCTTATTCTACCCTCTACAATTACGAACTAGCAAATACACCCTTAACACATACCTACGCAGAATTTACGTTCATCGAACTGAATTCTAAGGAACCCACACATGTAACACCAAGTTAATAGAAAGAATCCTTAGGAATAGAACGCAATACTGAAGATTGACCCAATCAATGAGTATTGCCAATCAATTATGGCCTCTATGTACCCACTGCAACACCAATGTTTGTATTCAATTTGCCATATAATGGTTTTACTGAATAATCATACCAATAATTTAATGTTTATTGGATAAGTTTCACAAAAGAGCTTTGGCTGACTATTGGTGAGCTGTAATTGAGCATTTTGCTTATTTAGCGCAACCAATATTTGATATTTAGCAAACAGTTATATTCATACATTCAGTTATGTTTATTCATAGTAAATTATATGCTCTATTTTGCGTTATTAATTGATTAGAAATATCTTTAATATGGATTACCAATGTTTTATAAATAATGTTATAAAACTGCACAGTTTTCCTTTATAAATAAATCCTTACCTATATTCTGTGTACAATTTCTGGTTTGTTTATGTCTATGTAGCTTGTAATTACTACGAGTAACGATCCTACCGGTCCAACACGACACCACCCAACAAGAATTCAACATTGATTTCAAAAACAATTCACAATCACAAACTCAGAACACACAAATACATTTCCTGTACTCATAGAAATAAAATCTAAAATTCTACGTACCATATTCACGTGTGCAATATTTCCACAGAATGATTCCGGTCGAGGTATGATCAACGGTGCAATGAGGTCACATCGAGAAATTGTCACCACAAGGACACCGTTGTTAGCGGCGCATCAAGAAAGCTGTGTATAAATGCCATATCCATTTTTATTTCATAACCAAGTCGTCGGGGATAGTGCAAATCCGCGAATCTAACATACGTAAATGCCGCGTATCCGCAATCTGCAATAGGTCCAGTTTCACAAGGAAGGTTAAAACTTAACAATTTTATTAGTTCAATGAATTTGAAGCTCATTTTTACATAATAAAAATGAGTCGCAATGAACTCGTGTCGAGGTGGTGGCACCCAATTAAGATTCTGCGTGATATTTCCACGACAATTAGAATTAGTTACATTTGTCAGATACGCGGAATTATCCAATGCTAGTTCCGCGGATTTGGCACTATCTCCGACGAAATTCTTGTAAATGTGAAAAAAATAATATTAAAGTTGATATTGTTATCTTATTTTAAATCGATTCGCAATAACAGTAATGCGTTCTAGCAGTTATAAAAATAAGACAATGACTGATGAACAATTATTAAGTAAATAAAAAGATAATTATTAGAAAAATTATTGAATAAATTGTTTTAATGATAATATTAGTTAGATACTCTTTAAGAGAATGATGGACGGCTCTAAGCTCCTTTAGGATACATAGACCTAAGTACCAATCTGTAAATATAATATTACATATAAAAATTGTGTTTCGATATTCACATATGGAATTTCATTTCGCAATGCACTAATAGAAGATTTAAATGTAATTATTACAATAAATAAAATGTAAAAAGTTAATGTCATATAAGTGTCAATAAAATATTTAATTTTCATTAAATTACAATAAAGGCCAGTCCATTTTTAATTTTAATTATCATTAGTTTGCGTTGCTGTAAATTAAGTAGTTTGTCAATTAATTGAAATATTAATTCATTATGCCTGTGATTTATTGATGATGGCAGTATAATAAAAGTAAAGTTACGTTGTCATTATGTTCTATTTAAGCAGTAATTTATTATTATTTTTACCTTAATGAATTTGTAATTATTTTAAAATTTAATAAAGTTTGGATTGTGGATTAATTTATTTATAAAACTATCATAATAATAAAGTTATTAAACTTTAGGTACATACATTACGTGGGAGACAATTCAATTGTAATTTACAACAATAAATAATGTGTGAACGAGAAATCTGTTATTTTTATGTTATACAAGGTGTAAGAATATTTCGTTATATCAAAATTAATTATAATTGTTTTCTGTATTTGAAAAAATAAGATTTCTCATCCATGTCGTCACTATAACCTTAACCTTACCTTAGGCACAAACTGCATTCGGAGTCGCGGAGAACCTAACGGGTAACCGGGGCTCCGGCTCGACGTGCAGGAGAAGGAACGGGGTGGTTTTTAATCAGTAAGAGTCTGACACTCCCTCTCGCCTCACCCAGGCGGGAGCAGTCATTCGATGATTTTCCCCCCTTAAAAAAAAGGCACAAACTGCCATTCACATGCAAAATGTGTGATAATTAAATATTACAATTATATGTAAATAAATGTACAGATATAATGATATGTAAATAATTTTATTGCATAATTATTTTATGACGGAAATTAAAAAATAGTTTTATGCCTTGTATGACTGTATGTTGAAATAACATATGAGTTTTATATCAATTAGTTTAATTTTATTGAACTTTGGAATGTCCGTCGCATATCAAAATTTATTAAAATAAAGTAATAAAATAATGTAGATACATTAATTATTGAAATAATAAAGAATAAATTAATTTATTAATTGTTAAATTAATGACAAGTTTCATAAATTTAATTTGAATTCGTTACATGTTCGTACCCTCCCGGACTGGTTGTATATATTATATTAAATTGTAAAAATACAATAAAAAATTTGCTCATTCTAAGAGATATTATTGAATTTAATGTAACAGCGTGAGGAAATGTTAAGTTGTCGGTTAAAGAAACATTGTGGGAAGAGCAGTTTTTTAATACATGTGACTCAATAAAATGTCGAAAATTTATTTTGTCGTTTTATTTCCATCTAATTATATATTTATTGTGTAACAGAACACATATTATTGAAATAGTGGCCAGGGGCTTTACTGCAGATAAGTACAAGTTTAGCGGCAAAGTAACACGAACACAATAAAATATAAAGATTTTCGACTGCCTCGTTAGCCAAGAGGTCGCAAGCGCTAGTGCCGGCACTCGCACTTGCAAGGGGTCTCCGGTTCGACTCCCAGGTCGGGCAAAGTATTAGTGAGTTGATAGTAATTCTCTGTAGTAGCACGGAGTTTGGAATTATGCCCGGTATATATGGTAATAGGCTCACCCCTTATTACACGGGACTCATAACATAAATAGTGAAAAGTAGATGTTACATTTTACAGTAGCATTAAGTGCTGTAATGTGCACCTCTGCCTTCCCCTGCGGGGATAAAAGGCGTGATAATTATTAGGTACTATTGTTTTAAAAAGCTGAAAAATAATGCTGGGATGGTATTTTTCTGACATACATTCATTACATGCCTTCACACCTGTCTACCATGTAGGTAGCTGCCTACCCCTGCTGACTCTGGCTATTGAACGCCAATGCTATGATTCTTACATACCTCTATCGCTTCGTCAAACAAGTAGTCATTAATCTTTTCTTAATGATCTTAAATCAATTCTAGGATTATTTTTTTTGTTACTATTGACACCATTAGTTTGTTTATATCATTATCATCAGTGTCAGTTACGTAAATACCTATACCTAAAAATATATAAAACTAGCTTCTATTTCATCTCGCGGACGGCGAGCATGGGTGGCTCCCCGTCTGACCAGAAACAGACCCGAGCGTACGGCGCGTCGCGTACTACGCGCGGAGAACCTAACGGTTAACCGGGGCTCCGACTCGACGTGCAGGAGAATGAACGGGGTGGTCTTTAGTCAGTAAGAGTCTGACACTCCCTCCCGCCTCAACCAGGCGGGAGCAGTCATTCGATGATTTTCCCCCCTTAAAAAAAAGGTTCTGTTTCATCCCGGTCCCTTCAGCTATTTTGATGTGACTGAGTAACAAACATGCACACAAACTGACATATTTAATTTTTCACATTTACAATATCGGTTCAAGCTAATTTCAACCATCGGCCCTAGAGTTTCGTATAACCTTTGACAAACTTAATATTTGCGTTTGGTAGAGTAACTCTGTCTAGGGATTGAGCCGCACAAAGTTTCATCGTAATAGGACCGGTAGTTTATGCGTGATGCGTGAATATACAGATAGACAACATTTTCAATCACTTTTTTGGTTACGTTCCTATCTAATACCACCCCCACTATTTTATTATATTTTTAATGTACATAATTCATAATTCTATAGTTTTATTATATGTATAGAATGAGTACAGAATTCATGTAAACATAAAAAAGAACTTCTAATTCTTTAGCCCAGAGATATCAGGAGTACGCTCCAGGAAAATGATGGCTCGTATACAGTGGATTACACACACCTTGGTAAATTAATGACTGCACAAACGTATGGGTCAACTTCTCGCTAGCCTTATTAGCACTATTAGCAGTGATCTTATCAGTCATAGTCTTTTCAATTTAGTCTAAGCTATGGATGTTGCTAACAAATGGTGTATTTACGTTGACGTTCAAAAGTGCCTAGGCAGACAGTCTAATTGAAATAAATGATTTTTACTTTGACTTGACTACAAAACATATTCTTTTTTATTTTGAAATACTATTCCTACTGGGGGCAATCTTATTGAATTATATGTTTGATTCTGGGTTCCACGTTCAAAACTCTTAATCGTTTTAAAAACTGCGAATCATACCAACAAATTAATTAATGCGTTTTTGCGTATCATATATGAATATTACTTCACTTCTTCGATATTATTACTGAAGAGGCATAACTTGCAAAAAACACAAAGAATAGATTTTCATAAAATTATAATCCTGATGAAATTCATCAATGAAATAGGGCATTATAATCGTGAAGAAAGGTCGATATCTAAGGCATTGTGTCCGTGATGCAGGTCGGTGACACAAAACGGTTGTCCCGCATCACGGGAACCGACGCGATATAACCATTTGTTACGCATTCAATGCTCGCCCTGCCTAGCTATTTATCTTGCAACCATTGACTGGGCGAGTCGTCGATCAATTCTAAGCGTTTCCATCGTCGATTAATCAAATGGTAAGTCGGTGTTTAATCTTAGTGTCAGGATGGTGTTGGAAATATTGTAATAACCGTGAATAGGATATTTCAATGGTTATAATAATATATCATCAATTCAATATTTTTCCATCCACATTTCACATAAATCACCTCTTGATATAAAAATAATAACATACGTACGTATATGATACGAGTGCCCTAGAGTACTAACTCAAACATTCATGTCAAAATACATGTAAAGATTAATTTTATTTTCCATTACAATATTCGACAATGAGCTCATGTCTTTCAAACTGTGATTATATTTTAAAGTTCATGAATTTATTATTTCACAAAAGAGTCTGTAATTGACGTCAAAAGTCAAAAACATAGTTCTTTTATAAAACAGTTGGCAACTAGTTTACCTGTACCTATATTGATCGAATCACTTACATAGACATAAATGTCAGAAGGTTATTTAGACAAGACATAAATTCAATTTCAGTATTCAAATTCTAACATGCACGTAGCAGCTACGTCTGTAGCAAAATTGCTACGCCGTAGTAAACTTGCTACGGCTACCAATACGGTTACGTAGAGGTGAGGTATGAAATCATTTTTGTCTGGAGTTTTAAATTTTTTTTGGTATACAATTGCGTTTGACTCAAAGCGGTCACTAGATTTTAATAAAACTATTGTCATGGTTATATACAGTGAACACGAAAAAGTAAATGGAACTGTATATTAGAAACTTCTAGAACAGTCACTTTTGCCAATTACGTTATTAATCCAATATCAAATCATAGCAGACAAAGTTTAAAAGTTATAGTCAAACCTCTACAGAGAATTTTGAAATTGAAACCCCGCATACGCCATTCTACTCAACTAAAACATCGCACTTACGAAAATTCGATCTGTATTCGTTTCCATTCGTTGGTTAATTAACAAAATATAAATTATAGTATAATACCTACAGTAGTATATAATACTGTAACAGCGCGACAGTCGCCGCGTCGCGGGTCGCGAAATGCTGCTCATGAATATGAGCCTATAGCATGGCTTGAAACTAGTCGAGTTCCACGTCAAATTATTACGTGAGTCAGCCGAAAACATAACAATTTATTTAGTATAATACATCTAAAATAAAATCAAGTTAAGAAGAATTTTAATGAATTATGGTTTTATCAAAAAGAACGTCTTCTTTAAATGCTAAGGTCTAATTTAATACCCAAAGCTGACGTCATAATAGTGTAGTCCGCAATAAGCCAAGTCGAACTTTGTTTCAGAATTACCAGTTAGCCGTAGTACTTGCAATATTGAGAGTTAACAACTATCCTAACAGCTGTTCGCTACATATTACTTCGGTAGATACAAATATTTATTCGCTAGCTATGAATGGGTAGGCCGGAGAAACAAACGGCCGAGTTATACGGGGCTATGATTCACGAAATTGATCTGAATTTTTATAGATATAGGTTATTTTTTGCAGTAGCAATTTTTTGTTGAAGTTTTCACTAAGGTGTATTGCGCTAATTGGCACACATGTTGTGTATTTTTTTACTATTAACAACTTTAAGAGTAAAATCAGTTGGATTGATACATTTTAGTTATCTGACTGCTTTCACCAATGGAAGTAACAGTATATTCA